CAATCCACAGCTCTGGGCGCCGGGCGGCGGGGCGGCCGGGCGGCTGGGGACGGCTGGCGCCGGGCGGCCGGGCGCGGCCGTGGGCTGTGGGGTGGGGTCTGTGCGCCTCCTCCGAGGTCCCCGGCGCTGGGCGGTCTCCTCCCCACAGACCCCGCGGGAAGAGTGGTGAATTGGCTTTGGGTGTGTTGCCGGGTGAAAGGAGTTGTGGCCGCCGAGACCGCCCAGTTAAACGAGCCTGACGGCAATCTCCCTGCTGGCTTGGAGGGCTGGAGGAAAAGTAGTGTAACTCCCCGCCCTCAGGTCGGAACGCCGGAGGCTGCAGGGCAGAAATTTTCCCCCCAGCCCCTCGGTACCCATTGTTTTGTACCATCCCCTCCCCCATGCCTAGGTGGAAGAATAAGGACTCCAAAGCAGTAATTTCCCCGCCTCTCCCCACTCCCCTTCTCCCCTGTGTCTTCCCCCTCTTCCCTCTCAGTAGGGGAGTGTGATAAGTGCAAGTAGGGGTTCACAAACAGGTGGAATGCATGTCTATCCGGGAATCGGGAAGAAGATGCTCTTGGGGTGTGTTTTCCATCTCATCTCACCTTTAAACTTGGAAATTCGATTTTCTTTCCATTCGTTTGTATCATTTTGGGGGTGATGAGAGTAAAAGGAAACCCCGTTTTTCGACCTGTCCCCCCAAATGTTTTTGAGGGCTCTGGGGAAGCAAAAATTAGGTTGCAAATGTGGACCGTGGGGTACACTGGTCTCCAGCATCGAAGATTAGTCTGAGAGCTTACACCTGTGTAATCTCGTACAGGCTGTCAGAAGTTCCAGCATCTACACAGAGGGACTGCCGAATCAAAAACTTTGGGTTGCTGTTTTTCAGAATCCAAGGGGAGACTTGTGCAACCAAGTGCTTTGGTGTTTTAGTCAGAAACACTGACAAAGATCTTTAATTTTAAAGACTCAAATTTATTACTGCACCCCTTCACCGACACCCTTCCTTGGCATGGCCTTTACAACTGTTTTTGCTATGTATTTGAAGACATTTAGAGGTTTAGCTATTCACAGTTTGTAACATTCAGTAACTCTACAAATTAAATTACATATTCAAATTAAAAACATTTGCATTTTGCAAGTCTTTTTATTTTTTATATGAAGGTTAAAGATTATAGAAATAGATTACCTAAATATTTAATCATTCACCACACACGGAGCTTAGGCTGAATACTTAAAAATATTTAAGTATGAAGTCTTTTAAACTTATGAAGACAAAGTATTTTTATGTTATTTGAGTATGCATTTACAAGTAAAACAGAGAGAGAGGGTTTGTCTAAGGTGTAGCTTAAAGCTATCATGAAACACAGTCGTGAAATCTCAGTTTGTAGTTACAATCGTGGCCTCATTCTAAGAGTACACTTTCCCCAGATGCTTGTTCAGTTTCTGAAGAATTTGTCTCAGTTGGCCTTTGTTTTATAATAGCCTCATTGTTTTTTTTTTTTTTTCTGTCATTATTCAGAATTGACTATGGGTTGAAAACGGTATGAAGAGATATATTAATATTTTGAACCTAGATTGCATTTTAGGTTTTTATTTTGTGAGATGCCATAATAAGAAAGTAGATTAGAACTGTTTTTGATAATTGTAGCAAGTGCAGGTCAGAAGTCAGCATGTGACCTACAAACCACTCATAAATGTGAAGCACTTTGTTTAAATAGGAATATGAGAATTATTTTTGATATGCTTAGATATTCATTTCAAGTACTATCACATTGGGGAAAAGATGTAGCTAAGTTGTAGAGTGTTTGCGTAACATGTACAATGCCCTGGGTTTGATTTTTTTTTTTTCCTGGCCCTGCAGTAAATACGTACATAAATAAATAACCAGCTGTTCCTTCTGTGACTTGGGACAGAAAAGTCACAATGGTTTTTCCTCTTCCAGATATGACTGGTAGTATTCTATATGAAATAATCGCAAAATGGCTTCTGGATTATTGCTGGGGTATAAGTTTATTTGCTATCACCTGTGCCTGTAGCACATGCATACTTGTCAGAGGCCAGAAGTTGATGTCAGATACCCCGGAACTAGAGTTACAGAGGGTCATGAGTGGCCGTGTGAGTGCTGGGAATAAACTCCAATCCTCTAGAAGAGCAGCCAGCGCTCTTCAATTGCTAAGCCATTTTTTTTCAGCCTCAAATGTACATATTTTTTGTCTTTGATTGCCCATATCAACTGTGAATAAAATTGGAATGTTTTGTGCAAGTAACAAACATTTCAGTCATACTTGTTTTTAAAATATGCTGAATTATCCATATTTCTTGTATGTTTCTGAAAGACTTTTGGTTTTTAAAGGGCAATTTACATATAAAAACACTCTTGGTATTTTAGACCAAAATGAAAGCTAGATATCTCTTGTGTAGTTGTAGGTATGAGTCCTTGGCAGGTGAAGATTGAATAAGAGACTGTCTCTGAGATGCAGTTGCTATGCCCTTCATAGGCTGATTATGTGCGAAGAGGCCCAAAATCTTTGCTTTAACCAAGATAGAGTTTAAACCAACCAACCAACCAACCAACCAACCAACCAAAGAAACAAACAAACAAACAAACAAACCAAACCAAAAACAACAACAAAGCAAAACAAAAAACCAAAATGCAAACCAAAAAACCAAATAAGTTACCTCACAGAGTTCTGAGGTTTGTAACTTAGACATGGTGTAAGACTTCTGGAATTTGTTTACAAAATTCTCTAAGTTAAGGGAGAGAGTTTAGATATTAGGCTAAATGTCAGTGTTTATTGTTGTTAGACTGTTAGTGAGTGGGTAAATGTTCTGTTGTAAATGAATTGACATTGCCTGAATAATTTACAGAATAATATGTAAAGTGATACTTGCAATGAGTCATGTAAATAATTAGGCTGGTGGGTAATTTTATATAATGTTAGACTTACCATATTTCTTGTAGCTTATATTTTGTATCAGACGCTTTATAATTTAAGGGTAATGAACTGAAGCATGAACATAACCATCTGCTAGTTTTACATTTCGTTAACTGCTTAGTCTTCACATGTGTGCTACACCACTTCAGAGCTGTGCCATGTAGATCTTTTTAGAAGTATTCTCTTAATGAAGTGAACTTGCAGTATTCTTGTCTAAACTTGACTTAAAATTTGAAGTTTCATAAGTTACAGGCTACTTGTAGTGTGCTTGAGCTTGGCATTTGCAGAGTATCTGAAATGTGATTGTTAATCAGTACAAGCTGGAGAAAACATTTTAAGTCTGAAAACAATTTTTATTCTAAAATAAATATCTCTTTTAAGGTAAAATAGTTTTTATTCTCCTTGTCCCCAACTTTTTAGCAAAGCATTGTTAGTTCAGGGAAGCAAAATTGGAACACACGAAGAGTATTATAATTACAAAGCGCACTTAAGCTTTTGAGTTGATACCATGTGTTTCTTAAGTGTGTAGTTCTCATTGTCAAGATTGGAGAAAACGAATGAGATTTCATACTGTCTCATTACAAGTAGGCTGGTCAGAAGAGGTAACAAAAGATGGTGCGTTCTGTGCAGTAAGGGTTCTTTTACGGAAAAGAGTGAACACACTGCCTGGATCTAAACCTTTTTGTTTTTCCTTCTGGTTTTTTGAGACAGGGTTCCTCTGTGTAGACTTGGCTGTCCTGGACTTGCTTTGTAGACCAGGCTGGCCTGAAACTCAAAAGACATCTGCCTGTCTCTGCCTCTCTCAGTGCTGGAGTCACAGGTGAGTGCCACTGTGCCCAACCCTAAACATTTTTTAAAAGGGCAGAATCAGCCTGTTAAATACACCTCAGAGGGTTTTATGAATTGTTTCTGTGACATCTTTATAGCTCTATGAA